TTTGAGCACCGCTGTTCTCCAGGCACTCAGTTTTCTCAACTTCAAAATAAGGTGACAAGCCTAGTTTATATTTGAGGTCCACTCCAGCTCTCCAGTGGCGTTAGTGTATGGTTCTGGAAGTTTGAAAGATTCTCTGTCATAGACCTTGAATGTGCGATTGAAATAATTCAAGTAAAAAACTGGCATGTGTGTAACAGAAGAGAAACAGATCTCTAGGAACTCTATACACAAACCCCATATAGGATGCTCACTTTATTTTATTTATTTATTTACACCTTTATTGGAGTATAATTGCTTTACAATGGTGTGTTAGTTTCTGCTTTATAACCAAGTGAATTCATTATACATATATTCCCATATCTCTTCCCTCTTGCGTCTCCCTCCCTCCCACCCTCCCTATCCCACCCCTCTAGGTGGTCACAAAGCACCGTAGGATGCTCACTTTAAATGAATAGTGCTATCTTCAGTTGGTTGGTACCATTTTCTGAAAGTGAAAAAACCTTGGTGCTTTGGAAAGGGAGGTGGCCGCTCCTCCTTTCTCCAGGGGCTGAGAGCTGTCTGATGTGATTCACGGAGCAGCACTTCTACAGGCTCTAACAAATGGCATTTCAGAAGGATGTACAGAGGTACACAGGCTTTGCAGTAAAACAAGGGATATTTTCAAGTCATTTATGAAAGCTCTTGCAGCTTCCATTTCAAGACAGGTAGAAAAAAATAACATGGAACAAGAAAAGAAAATAAATCTGTATCCAGAGCATCTCATAAATAAGGAAGGAGCGGGGGTCTGTTGGCCTTGCTGGGTTCTCAGAGTATTTTTGTAACAGTACAGAAAGCTCTCAAATGTTTTGGCAAGTAATTCTTATACTGTTTCCGTTATCAAAATCTATGCTTGTAAAATTATTTCGCTGGCTGTTAAAACCAAAAGAGAAAAAGGAAACAATCATTTCAAGGAGAGAGAGGCTAGGAAGATGATACTCAGAGTTTAAAAAGAGAGAGACAGAAAAAAAGAATATAGTTCACCCACAACTGCAAAAATTATTTTTCATCTAAAATGCAGTGACACTTCATAATTTAGAGCGAGTCATAGAAAATCGAAGGCAATTTTCTAATTGGCTTTTGTTTAATTAAAAGCCTATTTGTTGGAGACAATAGGACCTGGTTTGTTGGACTTGAGAGAGACTTTGTTCTGTCTGGGAGGGATGGAGAGGTTATAGCTTTTATTGAAAAGGATGGATCACAGACCCACTTTGCCTGAGCAAAGCATGTTGACTGAGGAGAACCACAATGATGGGGAACCTGCACTGGACATCTTTGTGAAATTCCCAGTGGCGTCTGGTTGAGCAAAAGCTTGACCCTAAAACCCTGGTTAAAAGCCTGTCCTCTGAGTTCAAATTCTGGCTCTGCCACATACTGGCTCTGAAACTCTGGGCAAGCTACCCAGATGCTCAGTGCCTCAGTTTCCTTCTGTCAAAGGAGGAAAATAATAGGACCTGTCTTGTGGGAATTTTATGAGGATTAAAAGTTAGCATATGCAAGGTGCTTTATATAACACCTGCCACATAGCAGGCATTACTTTATTAGGACTATTTGCTAAATAGCCATATGGATCTTTAAAAGAACTCTAAAAATGTGTTATACCGTTTCATAACTGTAAGACCTTAGAAAGCAGCAGTGCCCTATTTGATACCCCCATTGTGTGCCTAAGGAGGTGTGTGATTGACGCAAAGAGGCTTCCAGGGCATCCTGGGAGCACAATTCAAACAAGCCTGATGATTCTTAACCCATGGGGGGCTTCTCCCTGGTCAACTTCACTAACACATAGCTTTGGGGGGTTGTTCAAACAAGATACAGAGAAACTAATTTTTCTCATTTGATTTCCTTATAGTGTATTTATTTTTGGAATAGATTCATAGACCAACACTAGAAATAGCTCTGAAATAAATGTCATATTTTTCTCTCTTATATTTGGCACACTCTCCTTTGTTGGCTGGACCATGCTGTGTAGCAGCTAATATTGATTAGCCTACGCTTTTCTCAAATCAATTTTTCTCAGGCTATATAAAGCCTAAATGCTGGCAGTACTAAAACAGATGCATTCAACTTATACACTGCTGGTAAGGAAAAAGGTATGGACAAAAGCATGCTGAAACATATCGTCCAAGCAAGACATTGCCTGCTCTGCCAAATTCAAGTTGCCAGGTCCTGGGCAAGCTTCTTATCTCATCTGAGCTGCAGTTTCCTCACCAGTAAAATTGATGCAGCCGCTGTGGAAAGCAGTATGGTGCTTCCTTCAAAAACTAAAAATAGAACTACTGTATGATCCAGCAGTTCCATTCCTGGGTATATATCCGAAGAAAACGAAAACACTAATCAAAAAGATACATGCACCCCAGCGTTCACAGCAGCATAGCCAAGATATGGAAACGACCAAAGTGCCGTCAACAGATAAATGGATGAAGATGTGGTGTGTGTGTGTGTGTGTGTGTGTACACACACACACACACACACACACACACACACACTGGAATACTACGCAGCCATTAAAAAGAATAAAATTTTGCCATTTTCAACAACATGGATGGACCTGGAAGGTATTATGCTCAGTGAAATAAGTCAGACGGAGAAAGACAAATACTGTATGCTATCACTTATGTGTGTAATCTGAAAAAATAAAACAAATGAATGAGTATAACAAAACAGATGCAGACTCACAGATATATAGAGAACACACTGGTAGTTACCAGTGGGGAGAGGGAAGCAGGGAGGGGCAGCATAGGGGTATAAACTACTATGTATAAAATAAATGAGCTACAAGGATATATTGTACAGCACAGGCAATATAGCCAATATTTTATAAAAACTTTAAATGGAATATAAGCTATAAAAATATTGAATCACTATGCTGTATACCTGAAATTAATATAATATTGTAAATCAACTATATACTTCAATAAAAATTACAGGTAAGAAAAAATATGAGATAAAAATCTCCCCTAGTTCCACTACCTAGAGATAACCATTTAACATGTTGGAATACTGTACTCCAGAATTAAAAAAATAAAATAAAACAGGGTCATATTATTAAAAAACAAATAATAAAATAAAATGGGGGTAATAATAGTGCCCACCACCTATTAGATGAGGTGAAACCCAAACTAGTGCTAACCCCAAGAAAGTACTCAGCAAATTCTAACATTTTTATGTTACTTGTGTTCATGGAAATCGAACGTATCAAAGTCAAAATAATAAATGTATGCATAATGAGGGAAGTTCCACTATTCTTTTCTTAAGAACTGAAAATATCATAAAATCTTTCATTGCAAGTTACTTCTGAGACTAAATCTCTGATCATTTATTTCCAGCATTTTGATTTTCCCCTCACTATTGAATACAGGCCTGAGCCTCTTACACCAATGAGTATCAGATTAAAGCTGAAACCCACTGCATTTGATGTGCACAGTGATTTTCATTTTTGTTACAATTATATTTATTTTATGAAATATATCTTTCTTATCATAAGTAGTATACTTTTGTATATTAAAAATGTTCCAGCATCTTAACAAGCAAATCAGGATAAAATGCTAAAATAAAGTATCAAAGTCACTACACTGACCCAACTTGCTATACAGATATGGACAGGAGTGCTCTGGAAATGGTGGAACTGTGGCCAGTAGGCAGCACCACTGTCCTATAATTTTAGATGTTTATTAGCTCATAAAAAAATTTCAAATCAGCATGCAAAAGACAGGTTCTGTGTACTCTTGAATAATGTAGAAAAGTGTGGGTCGTTTGAACCTTGAACAAGTGAACAAAATGTCCTTCCTGTACTTAAATTAGAAAAAATTACAGCTGACCAAAATTTCCCTGGCAAATCAGAGAGCCAAGCTGTTTATTAAGAAATATTCAGGGGCTTCCCTGGTGGCGCAGTGGTTGAGAGTCCGCCTGCCGATGCAGGGGACACGGGTTCGTGCCGCGGTCTGGGAAGATCCCACGTGCCGTGGAGCGGCTGGGCCCATGAGCCATGGACGCTAAGCCTGTGCGTCCGGAGCTTGTGCTCCGCAACGGGAGAGGCCACAACAGTGAGAGGCCCGCGTACCGGTAAAAAAAAAAAAATTCAGGAAGAAAACAAAAATATGTCCTTTCATAAAAATTACCTAGATTATGAGGTAAGAGCAGTTTTCTTTAATATCTCTTTAACTTTTCCATTTCTTGAACATAAGAATGACTTCCCTTAAATCATTAGCCATTTAGATCTGAATTTTCAGGACAGATCTTGGTCATCATTTTAGACAATTAGTGGTGGAGAGTGGTTTACTGCCCTGAATAGGGGTCTCATGGTGTTTACTGAGCGATCTCCAGCATATGGAGAATTTGTTGGGCATATTTATAACTATTGTTTGTCTTTGTGGTTCTTGGCACAGTGTGGGTGACCACAAGGCCAGAACACTCCCTGCAAGTAGGCAGATGTTAGGACCCTGTGGACCTCTGAATTTTATAGAGTGCCTGTGCTCAGAGACCTACAGACTGTGTAAGTCTGGAAAGTTCACAAACACCATGGACAGGTGTGTCCATACCTAACCCTCACACACGAGGATGAGGAAGTTAAGGTGAAAAAAGGTAAATGGCAGAGATGTGGCTTCATTCCAGGTTTTTCTCCCCAAATGCTGTTGGTTCTGCTAAAGCACAGCCAATAATGTAAAAATACAGTTTTTACATTATTTTCTTTTCCTGCAGTGTCACATGTCTAAGAATAATCCCATATTTCGATCTTCAGTTGAGTTTCCCAACCCTGGGTCTAGAAGCTGGTTTTGCTCCACTTGTAGAAGGAAGCCCTCATTGCCACCCTGATCGGTTCACATGGAGATAGCAAATGTCATCCTACTTGATTATTCGGAGCTTGCCTTGTGGTACTTTGGTCTTCTGGAGGGAAATCAGACCTCTGGCAGCTGGTGAAATCTGCTGAAGAATTAACCTGATCAAACATTTTGTTTTAATCACAGAATCATGTCAACCCTGCCATGGACTTTACCCAGACACCTCCTGGGATGTTAGCTCTGGACAATATGCTCTACTTTGCCAAGCACCACCAGGATGCCTACATTCGGGTAAGCGCACAGCCCCTTTCAGCTGTTGTAGGGTTCCTACTGAATTCGAATTTCACACTTATGGATATGGAGGGATTACTTTTAGATGAGTGGCCCCAGAGATTGGCTTTTGTCACTTAGTAAAGTAAAAATGAAAATTAAATGAAATTAAAGAGCACCAAAATAGGGATTTTTAACTTTTAATTTTTTCACATGATATTTAAAAATATATTAGATATTGGAAAAATATTTTATATAGTTCATTTGATTATGACAAAAACTCTTAGCCTTAAATAACAAAGAAGAGAAACAAACTATCTACCAAAAACCTGCATGATCCCAACGTTACTGAAAACCACTTAGACTTATTTGGCTTCTTGAAAAGAGGCCCAGGATTCTGTCTAGCACTGCTCTGTTCAATCTAATGCTGGAGATACAATCAGATAAACAGAAAGAGAAGTGTGGGAGGGACGGGGAGGGACGAGAAATGCCTTCTCTCATTTCATAACAGATTAGTGAAACTCCAGCTACTAAGGCAATGCCTTTGTGGGTGGGGCTGAGGAAAACAGAAGGAGCCACCTGCCTATGCAGAGCAGGGGCGGGAAGGACAAAGTGTGAATGAATTGGAGCATAGGGACAGTGACAGAGAAGGCCTTCGAGTCAAGGCTGCTCCACTGGAGGCCCTGGATTTTTGCTGACCCCTGTCCCCTGTCCCTAGGGAGAGGAGCCCAGATTCAGTCGGGCGAGGGATACAGATCCACGATTGAGATGAAGGAGGATATGAATAAATGGGACAAGGGCATTGGCAAGTGGTTAAAATGATGACTAGATATAAGCTTAGGAAATATTCGATGAATGAATATCCTAATGCAGGAAGAGTAAAGCTGAAATCAGAGTAAGGTATGAGCCTGTGCCTCTGATATTCTCTGTTGGCTCCCTCTTGACACTGGCTTTCTGGAGACCAGGGTTCAAGACCTGGCACTGTTGTTACCTGGTAATGCAAATGGGGCGATTCCTTTTGACTGGGCTATAGTTTCTTCTCCAAACTAGAGAGCGTTAGTCCCTCAAGGAGCATTTGGAAATGTGTGGGCATGTTTTTTCGATAGTCATCATGCCCATTGGGGTGCTACTGGCCACAGCCCTCTAAAACATGGGACAGTCTGCACCATGAAAAATTGTCCTACCCAGTAATGACCCCTTTAAAAAAAAAGTCATGCCAGGTCTGAATTCCCTGTAAGCACTATATTTTAACTTCATCTGTTTTTCTATATATGCAATTTGACAAGCTTTGACTTATATTAAAACATTATTTGTACTTTAATTATATGAAGGATTTTATGCATTTCTCTGAATGGTGTTACGTGCTTCTCAGGTATTTGATTAGAAATGCAATTTTCCGTAAGAAAATTGTTTTTTCATAAAAGTTTAATTTGGTTTATATGTGTATATATTTATTGCACAGATTTTTTTTCTAGGACTGTAATCTGCTCTCACAGTAAGTAAATTAATATTTTTGAGATACCTTGTGGTATAGCCTCGGAGAGTTGAGTGTGAAAAGAAGAAGCCTAGCAGAAATTGAATTTAGCATTACCTGATTAATGTTTGTGGATGAATGTTTCTAAAGTTAGAGAGTATTGATTCTGAATGTACTGTTAATTGCATAAGAAGCATACGTCTCAAGAAGAGTAATTTAATACTTTAATCCCATTTTCTTCAATGTGTTCTCTAAACTGTCGTAAGTGAAATTAATACCATGGCAACCTGACAGAACTTTATATCTGATGGGAACTTAAAAAGAAAATCCTGTTTGAAAAGAAAGGTGTGGACTTTTTTGTCCACATGCACTTTCTTTCTGGTTAGACTGAGAAAGGAATGTTTTCTCGAAAGTGTTCCTTTCCTAATGTGTTCTGTGTCCCATCTGACTTTGGGACCATTAAATGCTGCATGGAAAGCTAAAGCTATTTACATGAATGAATGGGGTTAGGGGATCATATATAAAGCTGAGGCATTCTGCAAGGAAGCTTTGTGGTGACTATGAAAACAGATGTCCCAGTGGTAGTGAGATAGTGATGGAGACAATGAAAGTGGTCATCCCAGACAGCTAATTAAATTTTGATCTATGAGCTGAGTTGTCTTTTCTGAAACATAAAGATGGGCTCTTGTTTTTTTAATAAGCTTACATTTTGATAAAATTTCCTTTTTTTGATGAGGTAAATTTGCTGTCTGAATGCAGTTATTCATTTATTATTTATATCTTTCATTCAATAAACACGTATTCTGTACCTAAATCTATAGTCTCACTTTTCACTTTGCCAGTCAGATTTATGGTTGAGATTTTCAAAAGGAATTGTAACACACACACACACACACACACACACACATTCCCTCTTTGCCCTTGACACGCCCATGCCCTCCAGCTATCCTGTTGCCTCAAACAATGTATATTTTTCCAAGTTGTCTTCTTACCCCATGTTCTAACTCACCTGCTGCTCACTTTTCAACACTTTGCACCCATCACTTTCTAGAAGCTGTTCTGCTACATGGGGAGCCCTCTCCTCTTCCTTCGTCTTCTTTGTCCTCCCATCGACACTGGACACTTTCCATTGGCTGGTTCTCCCTTTTTGCCTGCAGCCCTTGCTGTCTGTCTTGGTTCTCTCCTTGGCTGCTTCTCTTAGTCTCTCTGATGGGTTTCTCTCCCTCTGCCTGCCCATCAAATGCACACAATCCTCACGACTCTGCCTGTGGATCTTTTTTCTTTTTCAGGCACTCAAGCTGCACATGTTTACTGACTGAGTAACTATCAAATGGCCTGCAGTGAGGGAGGGGATAGAGATTCCCCAAGGAACAAGTCACTCATGAGTCCTGTCATTGAGGATTTTACTCTCTAGCGATGGAAGGAGGGGTAGTTGGAGGAAGAGTTAAATGCCAGCACTTTCCAAGCCACTTAGAATGGATTTTGATTGGGCAGGAGTGATACTGGGGGCACAGAGGAGAGTCATAAACACGGATGTGGGAGCCAGGTCAGTAAAACTTCCTTCAAGAAGTGGCATCTAGGGCTTCCCTGGTGGTGCAGTGGTTGAGAGTCCACCTGCCGATGCAGGGGACACGGGTTCGTGCCCTGGTCTGGGAGGATCCCACATGCCGCGGAGCGGCTGGGCCCGTGAGCCATGGCCGCTGAGCCTGCGCGTCTGGAGCCTGTGCTCCGCAACGGGAGAGGCCACAACAATGAAAGGCCCGCATACCTTAAAAAAAAAAAAAAAAAAAAAAAAGAAAGAAGTGGCATCTACCCTAAGGCCTGTTGGATAGTACCAGTTATCAGGTAAGGGGAAGGGGGATGTGAGAGCGTACTCCAAGCAGAGGGAAACATGTGAACAGAGGCTTAAAGGTGTGTGCTTTGTTCAAGGAACCACAAATAGTACAGCATGGTTAAGACAGGGAGTGGCAAATATGATCATGGCTTGGGAGGCAAATGTGGGCTAGTTCATTAGGGACCCTCCACACCGTATTAAGGTGCTCGCTTGTGCCTTAGCCCAAAGGCAGTGAAGAATTTCTGAACTATTTTAAGTAAAGATGATGAGAGTTAATTTTAGAAAAATCACTCTCCTGCCAGAAAACAAATGTGAGAAATCAAGACTAGCAGCAAAAATAAAATTGGGGAAATTATAGAGAAATGATGGTAACTTGATAAGGCTAGTGTCTGTGACATTGGGGAGAAGCAGTTTGAATGAATTATTTTGGAGCTAAGGTAAACTAGACTCTCTCCAAGGAAAAGGGAGATACTGGCTTGAGTGGATGGCTGGTGGTGTCATTGATGAACTAGACCTGTGGGTCTGAGGGGTTGGTCATTTGGAGACATCCAGATACTATATGCATATGGGACAACTGTCCAGGTGGGTGTTTCTAGTAGGCAGTGAGATATGGGCAGTGGTGGTCAATAAGAACGGCAGGGTCTAGTTCTTAGGTAACAGAATATAGAACAGCAAGCAAAGGAAGAGAGTATAATTTTTGTTGTTGTTTTGTTTCGTTTTATCTTGTTTTCTTTTTTCCCCCTTGGGTTTTTAAAATTTTCTTCTGAATTTTTAAATGTGACCTATCCTTGGCACATCTATCAAGTCATAAAACTGTTTTACTTGATATTTATTTGCAGTTTTCTACACTATATTGAGCAGATAAACATTTCACTGTTTTATAAATTATCATACTGTTTAACCATATCACGATCACTTAGGACTTGCTTCCTTCCCCAGGGACCTAATTTTAAACAGTGGCACTACTTCTTAGAGAAATATTCTGATGTTGAGTCAATATGGAAAAGAACAAACTTGACCCTTTTTGTATATTTTATTTGGTGTGGTGCTATGTTATAAGTAAAATTTTTTTTTTTTTTTTTTTTTGGCTACACCACGCGGCTTATGGGATCTCAGTTCCCCAACCAGGGATTGAACCCAGACCACGGCAGTGAAAGCCTGGCATCTTAACCACTAGGGACCAGGGAACTCCCAGTGTTTCCTTAATGCGGTTGTCTCCGAACTAATTACACAATTTATAAGATCTCAAGCCTTCTAGTAACAAAATTAAAAGTAAATTCTGGAAACGGCTTGTTCTTTATGTGCCCTGAAGTCCTTTGCCTCAACATCCCTCAAAATTTACAGTCAACATCTCATCCAGTTGGAATATATTTGCAGACTGGGTGACTGTGATAGAAGAGAATGAATTTCCTGAGAAGGGAAAATAGAAATGCCTTCAAAAGCAAGATTTATTTCAATGGTTTTATGCAGTTGTGAGCCAGGGCACATGTGTTTTTAGTATCATACTAAATCAGAACAGACATATTTATAATATGTCAAGTAAATAAGATTATGGGAAAAGACGGCTATTTGTACCTAAGAGTTGTTTTCTCAAGGTTCTTTTATGGTAGCCATTTTTAAACAGATGAAAAAATTTAAGTATGTTTACACTATTTTAAAACCTTTCTTCCTCCTCGTGATGCATACATAATAAACAATACTTTTTACAAATAG